GCCGTGCTCGATCATCGTTGCCCACATCAGTCGGATCTTTCACTATCTGAAGTCAAAGGTGCCAAGAGACCAGCCGTAGAAGGCTTAAATGCCTCCTACGTGACAATTTCACCTATAACGCTCTTTCCCGTCCTCGTCAATATCGTGGACTTATCGTCCCACACCCGGGTGACACGTTAGGTGACACACTTCACTGACTTTTTCACTTGGGTGACACGCCATCGTGATGCTTCATCACAATGGCTACTTCGACCAGAAAATTTTTCTCGCAAAGCGCACTGGTATGATCACTCTTCGTATACACGAAACAAAACATCAAGAAATGTAAGTACAATTACTGGTTGCAAACATTTTATTCAACGGACACGATAGTTGTAAGCGTTGGAATGGCGCAGTTCGGCGTTCGGCTTGGTGGGGGCATTTTGTTGGTTCCAGTCGATCACTGCCGAAGCCTTCTGTTGACTCATGTGAATCCCTGTGAAGCTATGCCATAGCAGGAGCTTCGTCTAACTTGACAAGAGCTTACACTTCTCGTCAAGGTAGGACGTGCACGTCAACAGGAGCTAACAAAAAGAACCAGCAAAATTGCAAATGCCCTCCCAAGCCGAACAGCGTCTTTGAAATTATTCGATTTGCACGGCACGTCAACAGGAGCTAACAAAAAGAACCAGCAAAATTGCAAATGCCCTCCCAAGCCGAACAGCATCTTTGAAATTATTCGATTTGCACGGAGTGCACGTGTACATCTCCGCCGATGTCGATGGACGTGATTGACCAGCCGGACTGTCGTTCTTGGAAGTCATGGAGTAAGTGTCCATTGCTGTATACCTGAAAATTTTGGAACTTCATAATAAGTGGCCAGCACGAAGGTCACATGGGTCACTTCATCTACTGCTTCCTGAAAGGTATGCGGGTTTTGAGTAACCTTTCTACGATCGGATCGGCGGAGACCCACAACTACTGCATTATCTCCTATGGCGAGCCCCTCCGAATACGATAACAACAAAAGACGCACCAAGAATGCATAACGGTTGCGAGTCTCCGCCCATCCTCATCATCGTGGAGTGCGTGTTTCAGCCGTACTGCGGCCAATTCGAGCACGCTGAGTTACGCCAGAAGAACATCGCCGCCCAAAAAAACAAGAAACAAAGAAAAGCAACCTGATACTGAATTGCTCCCTGTCGCGATGAAGTCCAAGGTGTAGATTTCCTTCAGTCTGAATGGAAATACCGTACGAGTTCCTCTCTCCTCCGTTCTGCCAATGTCCGCGATAGTATGAGTTAACACCAAAGTCCCCCGTCCGAAATGGTAGTTGGTCGAAATTAAAAAAAAACGAGTGACTTTTCTGTTACAGTAATAGCAGTGCCCGTTTAGGGTCGACATAGGGTTAGAGGAATGTCCGAGGGAAAGACCTTGAGAGCACATCCCGCGATAACTGGATGGGTGGAGACAAAGGGCTATTGCGCCTCCCTTATAAGTGAGTTCTTTCGTCTCAGACAATAAAGAAAAGAGCCGCACCTAGAGAGACTCCTCTGTTCCCGCCCATTCGATCAGCATTTAATCTAGATTTTGACGCTGATGAGTATGCTCTCACAAAGGCTTGAAAAGCTGGCGTTAATGTGTAGTCTCCGAAGATCTCCGTTATTGATGACTTGCCCTTCACAGCGCTCTACCCAAATACAATACCCCGTGCTGGCCTTTCTAAGACCACCAAGGGCAGGAAAAATTTCTCGGAAACCATATCTATTCCAATATCGGAAATGTACCTTGAGACGAGGATTGAAGTGGACAATAATGTCTTCCCCGTTCTTCAGATTGACCTGAAATCAACATAAATAAAATATGGACGCAAATTCAAGATCTAGAGAGCACGGGCCGCGCGCGGTCGCGACGCGGTTGCAGACAGCGAGCCGCTAAGGCATTAGACCGTCTTGAAAGGATAGCCGTTGATTCACTTACGTGAAATTGTTTGTCCTTCTTGTCGGTTGGTCTCAAAACCACTCGAAGACGTTTACCGAAGGCGAAACCGGTCACTGGTACTTTGACGGGAAGCTCCTGAAAATATTTAGGTTGGTGGGTAAAGATTTATGATTCAGGCGACCTAAGAGGAACAGAAAGGACGGAGCTTCGATAAATGACCGCCTTTTTGCGGCTGAGATCTTCGAGAAACTTCCGGAAAACCGGTGCTGGAATTTGGTCTATGGAAAATCTAGGCCCAGATACGAACGGATCTCAGTTTTTCATCAGTCTTGCTTCCACCCAACATCTCGATGGCAGGCACACTATTAGCTACAGCAGAAATGAATGTTGTGCAGAAGATGAAAAAGGTTGATACTGACAACCACGACCGCCCACTAACAGAAGTCTGGATATCCAAAGCTTTTCCAAGTTTTCCAAGGTTATCCAAGCAACGAATCTCGGTCACTTGAGTATACAGTAGATTAATGTTTGTACATACTATCAAAATACTATCATATTTATATCTGTTCCACTTTTTATGTCCTGCCAATATCGTTTCAGCATTAAAAATAAATAAAATCTGGGAAAATTTGTGAAGCAGTCTGCCTTCAACAGTGCAGCTACAGCTATCTAAAGAAGCTGAAGCCCAACCCCATGCAAAAAGGTTAGATGGCTCTTCCTTTGCGCCGATGTAGCCCAGGCATTGCTCCCTTCAACTGCTTGTTGTCCTCCGGACTAAACCATTAGATGGACGAGAAACCCTTTATGACCTGAGCCCACGTCAGAATCGAGGCTATGTCCGACTTTGCGTCGCGTCAGCCTACACTGTGATGCGATGGCTGCTGTAAGCCGCTCACGGAAAAGAACTCGCATAACAATACTGTATAACAATACTGTAATTTGTAACATTGCGAATTGTCGGGGGCGGCGAGTGCAGCGCGGCACGAGATCGCGTCCGGCCGTCTTGCTCCACCAATGGTGATCGAGCAGTTATCGATGTAGAAAGG